AAAGTTCTGAAAGGAAGTATTTATAGGGCTAAGCAACACATTGTAGGAGGACATAGAAACGTACAAGCATGTAAAAAGTGAACTGAACATGTGAAAAAGGAGATTAGAGAATACATGAGCAAGAAGAAAAAAGAAAAGGAATACACAAATTTGTTGCCTGCTTTGATGACATGGATGGTCAAGATGAGGATGATGTTGCAATTATTGATGTTAAGGGTAAAAGAGAGGCAAGTGGAACTGGAAGCAATAATATTCAATCAAAAAAGCAAAAGCAAAAGGTCCTATTGATTTGTACTTCACCCTCCTCCAAAAGTAGCTGTGCAAACTAAAAAATAAAAATGACAAGGGTAAGCAAATAACAATTGATAATGCTTGCAAGAAAGAACTTAGAAACCGAGCATGCCAACGGTTTGCACGATGGATGTATGATGATGGGATATCATTCAATGCACTTAATTATGATAGTTGTGCACCAGTTGTTGAAGCTATTGGCCAACATGGTCCGGGAATGAAACCTCCTTCTTATCATGAGGTGAGAGTTCCCCTCCTCAAGAAAGAACTTGAGCATACAGACAATTTAATGCGGGATCATAGAAAGGAATGGGCAAAATACGGATGCACAATTATGGCAGATGGATGGGAGGATAAAAGACAGAGGCGTTTGATTAATTTTCTGGTGAATTGTCCTAAAGGGACAATGTTCATTAAATCTGTTGATGCTTCCTCTTATTCAAAGACCGGTGAAAAAATGTTTGACTTACTCAACAAGTTCGTGTTGCAAATTGGAGCAACAAATGTGATTCAAGTAGTCACTAATAGTGCCTCTTCTAATGTTGTGGCAAGTATAAATGTCAATATGTACTTGATGTAAAAATTTTAGGTTTATTGCTTCTAGCCTGCTATTAATCCAAATTTTCTTTCTTTACAATAGGAAGAATGTTGGAGGGAAGGCACCGACCTTTGTATTGGTCACCTTGTGCTGCACATTGTGTGGACCTGATGTTGGAGGAATGTTGGAGGACATTGCTAAGATCTCAAATATAATGAGGACCATAAAGAGAGCGATAATGTTAAATGGTTAAATTTATAACCGTTCGGGTTTGTTAAACATGATGAGGCGTTATACTGGACATAAAGAGTTGCTTAGACCTGCAAAGACTCGATTTGCCACTTAATTTATCATGTTATCAAGCATCCATTATCAAAAGGATTGCTTGAGAAAGATGTTCACTTCACAAGAATGGACCTCCAGTAAATGGGCGAAAGAGACACAAGGGAAAATGTAGCACAGATTGTGTTGATGCCTACATTTTGGACAAACATTGTGTACTCTCACAAAGTAGCAAGCCCTCTTGTTCGTGTACTTAAGTTGGTTGATGGTGAGAGAAAGCCTCCAATGGGATATATTTATGAGGCGATGGATAGGGCTAAAGAAGCCATAGCCAAAGCTTTTGGTGGGAATGAGGAGAAGAATGAGGACATCTTTAAGATCATTGATGCTAGGTGGAATATCCAACTCCATCACCCTTTGCATGCAGCTAGGTATTTCTTGAACCCATAATATTTGTATAGCAATCCAAATATTGAGCAAGATGAAGAGGTGATGCGTGGTTTATATCAATGCATAGAAAGATTGGTCCCAACCACTGAATTGCAAGATAAAATTTCTTTGGAGTTGAGTAGATATATGAAAGTTCATGGTCTATTTGGCTCATCAATTACTATTAGACAAAGAAAGTCAAGGGCACTCGATAAACAACTCAATTAATCATTTTTTAGTATATTTGAAAATTAATTTTGTTAATTTTTTACTAATAATATGTAAATAATTAGTGGTCCGCATATGGTTCTACAACTCTTAACTTGCAAAAGTTTGCTATTAAAGTGCTTAGACTCACATGTAGCGCATCTGAGTGTGAACGAAATTGGAGTGTATTGGAACATGTAAGTTTATAGTATTAGTAATTCAATGATAAAAAATTAGATTATAAAAAGTTATACTTATTAATTATTTGAATTAATGCAGCTTCATAGCAAGAAGAGGAACTGGCTAACTCAATGTCGATTGAATGATTTGGTTTTCATCAAGTATAATAGAACACTAAAACGACGATATGACATGCATAATAGGATCGATCCCATCCTTTTAAATGATATAGATGATAGCAATGAGTGGTTGGTTGGAACAATGGATGAAGATGTAGATGCCGAAGATGAGTTGGTGTTTGAAGATGACTCTTTGACATGGGGTGCAATTGCTAGAGCCAACGGGGCTGGAGAGTCCAGCCATAATTTAAGATCAAGATCAGCTCCAAGGGCAACAAATAGGACAACACCTTCATGCTCGTCTTCACTATGAATCATAGATGAGGAAGAGGCAAACTCCGAGGAGACAGAAGAGAAAGAAGATGCTGAGGGTTACAAATTTTTTGATGGGGACGATAATGAGACTATGTTGTTTGGTGAAGAGGATGATATTTAGGTCCCTTAAAATTGTTTGGTTTTAGGAGTCCAAGTCAAAACTCAAAACTGAAACTAATATTTTGTTGCTTGGTTTATAGATTTGGTAGGCTACTAAGTATTGACTGTGCTACTTTATAGACCTGGTAGGGTACTAAGTATTGACTGTGATACTTTATAGAATTGGTAGGCTTCTAAGTATCTTTTGATGGATCTGTTTTGGACTCAAATGATAGCTTTTGCTTAAGACATCAAGTATAAATTTATAATATATGGTTAATTGGTTTATGTTTTGCTTCTTTCAAATCTTTCTTATGAATTTAAATAGCTTCCATTTGCTGTTTTTCTTAGAGGAGCTTTATTAGTTTAATTGTTCTATTTTTTTGGTTGCTTTATTGGATTAATTGTGATATATTTAGTGTTTTTATTATTGAATGTTCATTGTTTAATTGTGTTATTTTTGCTGAGAAATATTGTTTTAAAATTTTACTTGTGCGCCTCACATCACTCAGGCGCGCGCCTCGCCGTGTGCCTCATGCCTAGGCTCCAAGGGACCTCTAGCGCCTTGTGCTTTTAATAACACTGGTATAGGAGTTTGGAAATTCATCCAGATGGAGTGGGATAAACTTTCTAAACATATCAGCCTATCAGGTTCAGAATCAGGGATAGGAGGGGAATCTGATTCTGGGAGGAGATCTGGTGTGGTGACCAATCTCTGGCTTGCACTTTTTCCAAACTCTTCGGGATTGCCTTGGTGGATGAGCGGGAGGACAACTTGAGATGTCCGATCCTCGAGGCATTTTCAAGATTAGGAGTTGGAGGGATGCCACTGGATTGTAGTATCGCCAGGAAGTTGTGGGCGATGGGCTGGATTCCCAGATTTGGGTTCTCTCTCCTCAGGGGCACTTTGATGTTCGCTCTCTCGATAAGTGCCTTTCAGAAGCTCCCGGGCCTGCTCTTTTTTTTTTGGCAAGTGGTTGTCAATTGGTGTTGGATGTGTAAGCGTAACGAGGAGCCACGTGATCATCTTCAATTGCACTGCCTTGTCGCTAGGGATAGCTAGAGTTCATTGTTGAGTTTATTTGGTGTCCAGTGGGTTAGGACTTTGAGAGGTTTGATTGAGGCTTAGAGAAGGTGTGTGGTGGGTGCCCAAGTCCGTGACTTTTGGAGGGTAGCGCCTCTGTGTGTTTGGTGGTGCTTATGGCTTGAACGGAATAGAAGATCCTTTGAAGGAGAGGAATCTCCTATCGGGGTGCTCAAGTTCTCTATTTTTAGTTCTCTTTTTTGTTGGGTTCTTCAGAGAAATGGTAATTCCATGGGGGAGATAGTTGATTTTTTGGACCCTTTGGAGTATAGGGACCTTTTTTGGCATTGTGTAGCTTTTGTGGATTGCGTTTCCCTTTTTGAACGCTTTCTAATACAATCTTACTTATCAAAATAAATAAAAATACCACATCTACATGTGTAGGTATTTGATTGCACCACAGAGAAATTTATGGGGAAGGTTTGCCACTTCAGCTTCACCCTATAGCTAAAATCACCTGCCCTCTAGCCACGACAACACCACATCTTGTTCAAATTGGACAGCCCTAGTGCACGTGGAGCCACTCCATTGGCTTGAGGTAGAACCACTTTGCTTCGTCAATTACAAATAGACACTCGTCCTACACGTAGGGGCAGAAAAAGATAAAGAAAAATGCATACATAGCTTGTCTTGTCTGCATAAATTCTGTTAGATTAAACACCTCAAGATTATCCTGAGCCGGACCTTACCTCAAGAAATCTCATTTGTTGTCTTAACAAGGCCCTAAAGGAGTCTCTCAAATGCCACTTTCTCCCTCTTTGGTGAGTTAGCCTCAACTTCTACCCTAGCCCAGTCCACTAGGGAGTCCCATAATATTGCATGTGATACCTTCTATCTTTTATGCATCACCTCAAACCCGCTAGGAGGAGCGGTTTAATTCAAACTAAAAACGACGGCAGTAGGAAGGCCAACACGAATGTAGATCAGGTCATGAGAAAAGACATAATTTCCAATCATCAACAAAAAACAATACACCACATATTAGATATGAATGGAGAAAAGGGATCTGTTTAGCCAAAACCTGACACTGGGAATTAAAAGAATTGTTTGGCAAAAAAGTTTTTCGTAACTTGAGAGCCAAGGAAACCAAAAACTTAGAAACCTGAGCATCAAATAGCTATTTGGTAGGCTGAACTGCATTTTTTATTTATTTCCGGAATCAAAACAAGATCAAAAGAATAAATTTCATTTTTGCTCTGTTCTCTCAACTTCTCAAAATCAAAACAAGTGGATTTATCCCAAAAAAAAAAAAAAAAAAACAAGTGGTACAAGATACCAAAAGTCTTCTTCCAGTGACAAAAAAAACAAGCATACTCCTCATGTCATATGCGAGGAAACACACTTTATGTCAAAAAACAAGCAGAATAAAAGAGAGAATAAAAAAATAAAAATAAAAAGTAAAACATAATTTCTTCATTAAACAGGCAATGGTCTTCAACTACTCAGAACAACATACCTGAACCATTTCACTGATGAAATTCAAACCCCCAGGTCCAACAAGTGAACCAGCAAGAAGATAGCCAACAATGACCTGCACAGCCACAGGTAGCATAAACAAACAGAGACCACCATAATTTGCACATAGTTAATGTGTATGGAATTATGAACGTAAGGCTATGAATAACCATCCAGTGCAGAAGCAGCCAAAAAAACGCAGCTAGCAACTAAAGATACAAACCGGTTGTCCCAGGCAGGAAAAGATAATTCCACCAATGGCAGCAGAAACTATAACAACCACCAAGTCTGAAATTAGTCTGCACAAATTCAACATGATAAACCAGAGCACATGTCACCAGAAATAGATTAATTCGATAATTTACAACATCAACCGTTCATCAATGATACCCCAAAAACTCAAATAATTCATGCATAATAACCAGGAGGAAATAAAAAAGAAATTAACCTTAAATCTACTTGAAGTATTGGATATTTTGATTTCTTGTTTGACATCACAAACACATTGTCCTGCCATCGAGAGTGAAGCAAGTAAGTGCTAAAGTAGAATAAAGATCAGTTATTTTTAAATTATTTGCACTAAAGTTTCGGCATCTTAAAGAAATTAATAGAGTTCAGTAACCTTTTTATCTATCAAGGTTGCCATGTCATCAGAACCTTCATTTTCATGGGAAAGAAACTGGAATGATCGTGTACCACTGCCAAAATATATATACATATATAACAAATAACTTTGGTAAAGTTGATCCGGGAGGAACTGTGAAAGGAAAAAAATATGCTCCATGAATTATGCACTAATTTTTTAATTTCAAATAAAAGTACATGGATATCCTTACTTTGCCTCTCGAGTTTCATTTTTCTTCACCTTGTCATGGGTGATTTTAGCAACAGTCTCCAGTTCAGCCTGTGAAACATAATCAAAATAATTCATCTTTAGCAGAAAAGAAATGTGAAACATTCTAAATTATAGCAAAAGGTTACATTGATTTAATATTCTCCAGTCAAGTGGCATATACATAGCCCAAAAGTTTCCATTAACAATCGATTTTGGACGCACTACATCCGAATGTTAAATTTTCAAAACGGCATCGTAAGAATCCCAAGATTCCAATGGAATATAGAAGATGCAACGGCCAGTTAAATCATTAACTAGCTGTTTGGCCTGGCACATACACAAATTTACACGTAGCAATATCCCTGGCTAGACTTTCTTTCCTTCAATTTATTCCCCAGAATTTATTAGGAAGCCATGCTCTTGCCAAAGCATCTAGGGCAGTATCACTGGGGTATAAATTGCCAGCTCAAGTAAGAACCAGGAAAATAAGAAGTTGATTGTGATATCACAAGTTTGACAGAGAAAAAAAAAGTTCCACAATACATGCGGGGGAGCACTAAGGCCGAGGATATCAGGTGAGATCGATTCAAATCATTATCCTTTTAAACAGAAAGTTTGATATGAAAATTACACGTACTTGTTGATCAGCCACACTGCTGTTAAAGCTACTTTTATCAGAACCTAGAAAAAAGAAGGCAGAATCAGTATCAACTAAACATTGTATATAAAGCATCAATGACGAACAGGAGAAGGCTATCCCCTTCTATCACATTAAAACTGTGGTGTCAGAATCAGAACCTTGTAGTAAGTCCAAGAATTTGGTGTATATTTCAAGTCTTTTTCAGGTGACTTTCATTATTGAAATCAAGCATATCATATATCGATTATAAATTCTTCAAGTCCACATTTCTATGGAAATGATTTATCAATTAGATTTTTCCATACAAGGATGATGATAGAATACCAAAAGATGGCAGCACAGACCACTACTACCCAAAGAATCTGTTGTCTTTCTAGCAAGATGAGTGTACTTGAGACATTTCTAAGCAAGACTCGATGAGACCAAGTTTACCTTCAGAAATTCTACTTGAAACTTTAATGTATTATCGACTGGGATAAACTAGTTGATTCAAGTGATTAACAAGGTAAACATAATACAAAATTGGTGGGTCCCATTGAATTTAAGAATTTACAAGAGATCAATGCAAGGTGACTCCTATTATCACTGATAGTAAAACTTGTGAAACTTTTCTTAGATTAGGAAAAAACAAAAAAACAAAAAAAACAAAAACAAAAAAAAAAAAAACCAAAACGAAGAAGAAAAAGAAAGAATTGACGTGTAGATTGAACCTTCCATAATCACAGAAGATTACTCAGAATGATGAGTATTTAATCTTGGATCCAACTTTAAATTTGGGTTTTGTACTTCTTGGTGATAATTCGTAAAGAAGATTTTCACATTAAATTGAAGAATTAAGATTAATTGAGGCAAAACTCTAGATAGAACCATTCAAGTGGAATGGTAAGGTTTGGAGCATGTTTCGACTTCTCCACTAAGAAAATGTGAGTTTCAAGTACAAAATGACTTTTTCAAGGTACCTTTGAAGTCACGAGAGTGTTTTAATGTATAAAGTTAGAAACTTTCAAAGAAAATGAAAGATTTGAGTTAAAAATTACCTTATTCAAGGTACCTTTTTTAACGACCCTCACCCTTACCAGACAAAATATTGTCTGTTTTTTGCTCCTCCGGACCAGAGACTTCCCAGGAGGCCACCCATCTTGGTACTCCTCCAAGTTAAGCACACTTAACTCTGGAGTTCTGGCGGGTTCACAGCCATCATGGCTTTAAAACACGTTCTGTCATAGAAGGGTGTTGAACCGACATATAGTACTTGCCCCTTCCACATCCAAGCAATGTAGGATTGTGCACCTATAGCTCACCCAATTTGGTAGCCTATTGGTGCCACCAGCACACGCTCACACACACCAGCCCACAAGGTCGCCACACCTTTGAAGTCATGAGAGCTTATAGTTATCAATTGAAATATTAAGTGCATTTAAAGGAGTTAAATTTAGAGGAATCCTACTTCATTATAAAATTTGACAATAAATTTTCTCCAACCAGAGGAATATTGTCCAACGTTCCATCTAAGTCATCAGATGATGTTGAAAACTGTGCAGTGTGCAACTGTGCACATGGTTTGGAAAGGTATAAGATTTTAAATTCAATTCAAATATAACAATTCATACTTTGAGATACTTAAAGTTATGTAGAAGTAAATTAGGTGAATCAGTGTCAAAGTTGACTGCAAGAATTACAGCCAGGGGAGAGCCTTTAATTTGTCCAGGCAATACTCAATTTGGTTCCAACAGGCTACAGCCACCTTTTAACATGTGTAACTCTTATTTCCAAGGCCCCTTTTGATTCCCTTTCAAATCCCATGGCCTTGATTAAGTATAGTTATCAAGTTTAGTATTTTGATCTTCTTTTGTTCATTATCTGTTAAGTCTACCTAGAAAGTGATGTTTTTCTTTGAAAATCCACAATTTGCGAGAGAGTTGTTTCATGCCTCCTCTATTAAAATTTCTAGTCAAGTAAAAAATAAGTAGCTTTTGATGAAGTTTAAATGATATTTGAGCCTTTCCCTCATTAGGTAGAAGGTCTTGTTCATTTTGTTCTTATTTCTTATCCTACTGGTGGATTCCTTAAAAAAGGGAGCTAATTTTATCACTTAAATTTTCAATTGTATTTCCTACTAGCTCCCTATTTTCCAGCGTCAAGGATTTCTCTGGTTAAAGTGGATGTTGGAGTTTAAATTGTGTTCGATGGAAGTTTTAGGAATGACGGGTAGTTTTACGAGCGAAAGAGAGATCTTAGGACACTTTTAAATAAAATTTACGAAAGTTCTCCAAAGGTAAATTCAAAAAAATGCCTTTTTTTGTCACACTATAGGGGAATCCTGGTGAGTTTCAAAAAGTAAGGAGGGATATATATATATATATATATATTGATAAGTAAAGATTGTATAAAGAGCGTTCAAAAGGGGAACGCATCCCGCAAAAGCTACACAAAGCCAAATAGGGCCTCTAACCCCTCAAAGAACCCAAAAGATGTGCAAACTCCTCTATGGATTTACATTTTCCCCAAGAACCCAACAACAAACGGTGCTTATAATGGAAAATTTCAGCGTTCCAGTAGGATTCTCCTTTCCTTCAAAGGATCTCATATTTCTCTCGAGCCATAAACACCACCATATGCCCTACACATAAAGGCAAACCCCTCCAGAAATCACGGATTTGGGCCCCCACTGCACTAATATGTTCTACAAAGATGAAAACTGAGGAAGAAGTTGTGACAGAAACTTGAGGGGTTCTATGAAAAAACAACTTTAGCTTTTTTCTACTCATTGTATGATTGTACATTTGTCAAAGAGGTAACTTGAACCTAAGTGGTGGCACTCCTTCCACTGCACCCTTAGTGGTAGATAACCCAGCAGCGGGCAAGTTGCCCAACCAATTTATGAGGGAAAAACACACACCAGCGAGCCTGTTCAAAAGCCTTCCCACTAAGCCAGGCTCAGTGGCAGTGAGACAACCTGCACCCAACTGCTACCTCCGCCATTAAATATCAGTGGCATTTTTGCCAACGAAAGAGAGAAAAAATGGTCCTACTCCAGCATTTCCCACTACCTCTCTTCTGTATGTTTGAAAATGCTGTGAGTTTAACCACTTTAGACTTTTAAGAATGACCACCACTGATGTAGCATACTGCAGAACTCAGATAGTTCGAGTTGGGTCTTGTCAAATTAAAGTTTAAGAGTTAAGGAAACAAAGGTTTTTTTTTTTTTCTCTAAAATGGAAACAAATAATTCTATTTTTACCTCTTGCTAAAATTTTTACATCACAATTTTATGTTCTCCGGACAAAACAACATCAATAATTTTAAATGTCAAGAATTTCACAATCAATCCAACCAATTCGCATGATTAACGCTCAGATTAAACCAAATAAATGTGAATTTAATAGGAAAAATCGAATGAACAAAAACAAAAGAAATAAAAAATAAAAAATAAAAAAGAAGAAATAAACCCTAACCTTCCTGCTGATCGTTTTCGGAGAATTCATGTTCGAGAACCTTATCGAACATTTTGGCAATACTGCCCTCGCCGGAGGGCGATGTCGTCGAATTAAGAGAGAGATTGCCATAAAATCTTTCTCTGATTTCCTTATCAGATCTAGCTGCAACAGAGGCGATCGCGCAAAACGTCAACACCACAAGACAAATCCAGAATCCAAAGTTCTCTCGTCTTGCGCTAATCACCGCCATTATGTATATGTAGAGAACTTCAAAGCAGATCGCAATTCATGTGAAGAGTGTTGAGAAGAGAGAAAATTTCTCAGCAGAAGTTGATGCACACACAGGCTCTAGGCTCGAGGGAGGGAGGGAGGGAGGGAGGGAGAAAGGGAGAGAGGTTTGGTAGATGGATGGTAAAATGCAATCGTAAAATGGAAGAGAGTCCTGTGATTTTCCAGTATCTTCAACTCCGTTTCGTGCTCGCCCATGTTAGTCGTTACTCGTACAAAATACATTTAGTAATTGCATCTGTGTGTATTACTATGTATTTTGGACGGGTTTGCAGTGCACAATTTTTTTTTTTTTTCTTTTTCTTTTTCTTTTTCTTTTTCTTTTGTTGCTTGGATGTTGAACTACTAATATATATTCGTCACTTTTGAGTCTTTGAATAAGACAAGTATTATTTAATAAAATCTTTGAGTCTTTGTATGAGACTAGGATTATTTTAAAAAATCTATTTCTTAATTGATCATGGCCTCGGCCCTTTCGGTCTTTTCTCAAACTAGCAATGATTGAAATCACCCGCCAGCCGCCGGCCCAAATTTTTAATTTTTTTTATCATATTACTTTTTAAAGGACACAATTATACTTTTAAATTTCCTCCACTTAGATTATTTTCAATGTAAAATGTTATATTTCTTTGCCAAATTTATATTTTGAGAGGAGTTATAGTGTCAAAATGTTATATTTTTGTATTGTGCTCTAATGACGCATTTAATTCAAAATGTTATTTTTTTGACACAACAACCATTCCATGTATTTGAGAACCATTGGGGTGCCTTATTTTCATTTTATCAACTTTTGACAATCTCAAAAAATGAGAGATTTTTTGAGAAAGTCTATTGGAGTGCCTATTTTCATTCACTTGTTATATTTTGAGTTTGAAAAGCCATTTGAGAGCTACTATATTTGATAATACATTTGAAAATCTCAAAATATGAGAGATCTTTTAAGAACCCATTAGAGTGCCTTATTTTCATCCATCTGCTATATTTTGAGTTTGAGAGGCCATTGGAGACGCAAAAATAATAATAATAATAATAATAATAAATTATTAAATAAATTATTTTTTTTCCAAAAAATAAAAAGTAACCATTACAAAAATTATAACCCCCCAAAAAATTTTATATTTATTGAAGAAATTATCTCTTTTGTCAAGATTCCAAAAAAAGTACAAAAGAAAAGGATTATAAAAAATATCCCTATTGAATAGATTATCTCTTATGATAAGACTCAAAAAAATAATAATAATTTATCTCATAAATTATTTCTTTTGACACGACCCAAAAAAAATTACCAAAAAAAAAAAAAAAGTTATCTCTTTTGACAAAATTGAAAAAAAGTTAACTTTGTTGAAAATATTTCTTCCGATTGTACCACAAAAAAAATAAATAAATAAATAAAATAAAGAAGTCATTAGGGAATAAATTATCTCTTTTGACAGCCAAAAATAAAATTATTAGTATCGAATAAATTATTTTCTTTGAGAGGAACTTAGGAAAAAAAAACAAATAGAAAGGAAAAAAATAGTAAAGAAGGTAAAAAAAAAAAAAAAAAAAAAATGGTTAAAATTGTATAAAAGGTAGTTATGACATTATAAATTAAGGGATGGTGCATTAATAAATTTAAGTATCTTCTTGTTATTTCATGTAAAAGAAAAAAGTAAATTGAGTGCAATTGGAGAAAAGTGGAGTGCCCATTAAAATAAGTTTATTTAACAAAGCCAAAAAAAATAAATTTTTTTTTTTTTTTTGAGAAAAAAAATAATAAATATCAAAGGTTGGGCGTTACCCAATGACGTAGTTGGTCCCCCCCCCCCCCCCCCCCAGGTTACTAGGATAAATAAATATCAAAGATTGTAACCAAGGGCCTTGTGTTCTACTGCTATTTCATCTACCTCCAAAAGTGGATGGTGAAGATAAATCCTCGTACGACAATTTAATGTCTGATTAGACATCTGATTTTATAACTGTCAGTCCGAGTCCGAAGTTCGACCACCACAACCTACCTAATCTTCATTGTTAGCCAAGAATAAAACTTGGTTACATGAATTCACACATATTTTAACAATGGTAAGAAGCTAAACCCACTATCTCGTGACCCGTATTAGGGTAAATAGCATTTAATTCCCTTGACTTGTAGCGTTTTGTAATAAATGTTGTTGTTTACAAAAACTACTCAAAACCCCCTTATTGTTTACAAAAACTATATAAAACCCCATCCATATATGTTTTGTGTTTATGTTTGTGTATGCGCTGAGTGTTAATGAAAACAAGTATGAAGTGTTAATGAAAACGAGTGTTGATGAAATTGAGTGTTGAGTGTTGATGAAAGCGAGTGTTGTTTGTGTCTTTTTTCTGTAATCGCTAGTGGTCGAAGATCTTGGTCGATTCTAAGTGGTTTGTGTTACTTTTCTTAGATAAAATGGTGCCAGGTATGGACAAACTTTCATCCATTGTCGTTGCTTTGTAGTTAGGGTTTTATATTCTTTCCTTTTCAATATGAGTCTATAATGTTGGGTGGGTATAATTCGAGGTGGGCTGTGTCTTGATATTGATATTAGAGTTTAAATTTTCTGTAATAAAAATTAAGGTTGTTTATAGGGCTGTGGTCCGAGTGATCAAAGATTAGGGTTTGTTTATTGATCAAACTACTTTTTCATAATTTAGAGTTTAGAAATTTATTGTTGAAATTAGTAGTAAATACTATTTTTTTTTTTGCTTTGTAGTACTTAGGGTTTTATAGTCTTTCCTTTTAAATGTGGGTCCTTATTGTTGGGTGGGAGTATTGATATTAGGGTTTAGTGATTTTGTAATAAAAATTAGGGTTTTTTTCCTTTTAAATGTGGGTCCTTATTGTTGGGTGGGAGTATTGATATTAGGGTTTAGTGATTTTGTAATAAAAATTAGGGTTTCTTTGTGGTCTCAGTCATCATTAAATTAAGTAATATAAGGTTGTGATTCCAGTGATCTTTGACAATACTTGTTTAAAATTACTGCAACTGTGTCAAAATTATTTTTTTTAGTTATCTTATGTTTGCTATTGTTTTGTTGAAATTACTTGTTTTATGTTTTAATCCTGCTTTTCAAAAGTTATACACACTAGAAATGCATTATGGTGGTCAGTTTGGTAATACAGAATTAAGTCCATATTTTAGTGGGTCTGTTGAGATATATGAGGATATAGACAGTGATCTCATGTCAATGATATAACTTCAATACATGATAGGTCTGCTTGGTTGTCCTACTACAACAAGTAAACTATTATACAAGTCTTACATTGATGAGATTTTAAAGGAGTTAAAGACTGACAGGGATGTGATTAACATGCTCGAACACTACTAAAGGCTCTCCCTAATTAAAATATATGTGGTGTCAATCACTGAAGAGGGAAATACAGAAGGTGAGAATGATGGAGATAGATCAGTAGAGGTGGGAAATGCAGAAGGTGAGAATGATGGAGATAGATCACTAGAGGTGCTTGCAATAGCAACTGAAGATGGTAGTCATTTTGATGTGCCTGAAATTAAAGATGAAGATGATAGTGATTTTGATATGCCTGAAACTGAAGATGTAGGTGACAGTGATTTTGATCTGCTTGAAAATGAAAATGACAGTGATGTTGATAGAAATGGTAATGAAATTGAAGATGTGAATAGGTAATGATATTGAAGATGTGAATGATGAATATTACAATGACAATGTTTTTTTGAATTTTTATGATGACACTTTTATGATAGATGAGGAGATTGATGAAGTAAGAAATAATGAAGATGCAACTGATGTGAATGAGGTAAAAAAAATGAACAACCTGAGATTTAATCTGATAAAGATAATGACAGTATTAGGCTTCTGAATATGCACCAAGTGAGGAGTTGATGAGTTTGGTATACTCAAGTGGTGGAGAATATGAGGATGGTGCCACAAGTGGGCCATCTTATCCAAATTTCAATGTTCATACAGACTTGGGAAATAAAAAACTTGAAATAGGCATGAAGTTTGATTCTCAAGCAGAATTTAAAGAAGCAGTAGGGGATAAAACTATAAAAGGTAAGTTTAACCTAACATTTATAAAGAATGATGGAGATAGAATCACAGTGATATGAAAGGCTAAATGTGGGTGGAGGATTTATGCCTCTAGAAATGGTGAAGATAAATCATTCCAAATAAAGATATCACAATTGTACGTACTGGTGTAAGGCACAACTATAATACCCCTAATTTTAAAAGAATAGTCTCGGTGTTTAATTAATTGTTTTATGGATTTTTCTTCCCTTAATTGCTTATTTAATTATTTGTTTAATTGTTTTATTATTTTATTTTGTTAAATTATTTGTTTAATTATTTTATTTTGTTAAATTATTTATTTAATTGTTTTTATTGAATTGAATTATTTGTGTAATTGATGTTATGCTTATGTGGTAATTTAAATTAGTTGTTTTCATTAATTGTTAACTTAGGATCAGTTGTTGGAAATTGTTTTAATTATTTCATTAGGGTTTTGTTTTTAGGTAGTCACGTTTTATTTAGCCGACTTAGATATAGAATGAATTGTTCGGTTCCCGCCTCTAAATTATATTAGAATTAGGGTTGGTATGTTTTTCTTAAACCTATAAATACAACAGGGGGTTTACCAAGGGTTTTTGGAACCTTATTCACGTACTGGAGGCAGAGTGAAACAGAGAGAGGAAAACTAGGGTTTAGCTAGGGCTAAGATTTAACCAAGGAAGGATTAAAGGGGTGTGGTTCATGTGTTGAATCAAGGAGGAAACAGAGGAGCAAAACAATGAAGGATCGCCGGAGAATTTAGGAAGACGACGCTGAGGTTTTGAACCGAAATCTCAAAGTCAAGTTCTATTCTTAACTCTCTCCCTTTAACTTATGTTCTTTACATGCCTAACACAATTCCAAGAATATATAAATATTAAAATTAATTTGGTTCGCATGTTAGGTTCAATTATAACAGTATATCTACACATTAATTGGTGGTTGCTTGTTTTTAAATTTTCTTGCATAATTCATGTTTTAATTGATGTCGATTAATGAATAAAGAATTTAATTGTTTCTGAAACACACTGGAACCTAGTTTAGACACCTAGGAACCCTAGGAATGGAGGACAGATGTTGGAAAAGTCGCCGGACTTGAAGAAGATGAAGGAATATGAGGAGAACCGGCTCCCTTTTGAAGGGAGTAGGCTCCCCTAAGGAAAGAGCAGGCTCCCTCAAGGAGGGAGCCGGCTCTAGAGCCTTTGGAGGTGGCTCCCTCAAGGAGGGAGCCAGGTCCATGAACTAGGGAGGCGGCTCCCTCGATTTTTTTATTTTTATTTTTCAGCTTTTTAGTGACTTGTTTGGCTACGGTGCTTGGATTTTGAAGTTTTCAGATTCAGGTAGGAGTTGTAATGGGGGTTTTCAGTAATGTCTAAGGCCATATTAAAACTTCCAGAGGTTAGTTAATGTGTAATAAATCACCTAGTGCTTATAGCGGAAACAGTATATAATTTTTAAAACAAATTGGTATACTGTTGTTAGACGTGGAGAATTTTAATTACTTATGTTTAATTTAGCAGTTTTCTGTGGATGGTTAGACCACTCTAATCAAGTATCAGTGGTAGGAATAAGCATGTTTAAATCTGTCTAATGCTTGCTAAGGATTAATTGATGTTTACATGTGTGATATGTATTATCAATTATTGGACCTTTGGAGTAGTATCAAATAAGCTTGTTGATTTACAAAACTTTATCATGCTTAGTACGGAACAATTGATGTTTATATTTAATTTTTTATTATCAATTGTTGGATTTATGGTTTGGTTGATATTTATACTCACTGTCTGTATTATCAACTACTGGATGTTTGAATTGTATGCACCGGTATGGGATGGTGGCATACTATGGATGGATTAGCTCAAATCGCTAAGTCCTACCTATTTTGGAATAAGGGAATGGATTATAAAAATAAAATCCTACTTATATGTAAGTCAGTGCAGCTGAACAAGCTGAACGACTAACTAGATTTATTATGGATAGATAGGATAGAACTTTAAATATATATTTATGGCATCGCGATATGAACTTGAGTCTCAGAGTCGACGGTTAGGGAGCGTATATGTAATAGGATGCGTAGCTGGCTATGTTGGTTGAGGTATACCCTGTTAGGCTTAGGTACCCATGCCCACTCAGGTGTGTTTTGCATGTTGCCTTCTATTCAGGTTGAGACCCTCTTCACAGTCCAGTGAGAGTCTCGTAGTGTGGATATATACCTATGTACGGATTATATAGCTATTGTTGAGTTGTTTAGGATGTACATGGGTATCGAGTCTCTGTTTGGATTGTAGTAGGATAGAACTTGTTCGTGGGCCTAACCCACTTCTGTTTTGTCCAGGTGTTCGTCAGTTCTAGGCTTAGAGCTTGTTCGCGCTGAGCAAAGATGGTCACTCATTCTTCCGATGATGTAGGATCTCTCTTCATGATTTAGTATTGGTTTTCTTTTAGTTTTTCGTTTCAGTTTGGGATTTTATTAGGGGTCCACTAGATGGATTCCCGAGTTGTTATCTTGGAGGTTTTGGATTGGCAGATCATTATTCATATTTATTTCTAATGGTATTGGGATTATTAGATTTTAAGTTTTAATTTTAAGGGATTATATTTTAGAATTCCTTCAGCTTTAATATTTCATTCATAAATCTTTTTGTATTCTGTGTTTGTTTATATATTAATTGTTTGATATTCCCTCGGGTTTGGGCTTGGGCTGATTAACCCATGTCTCGAAGTCGAGGGGTATCACAGTTGGTATCAGAGCACTCCAGGTTCAGTGTCTCTAGGATTGTATCGTACAAGGCTTCCGCGTAGCGTTTTCTCTTGATTAGAGCTTAAGTTTAGGATTCATTGTATTCCTTTACAATTCGGTTTAAATCATTCTGATGTCTGTCTTTTCGTATTAACATATGGTTAACGCTAGAAGAGGACAGAACATGCAAGGAAATAGGAGGCAAAGGAGAGCGGCACGTAAGCAGCAAGAACGCCTACAGCTTCAACTAATGGAAGAACAACAATTGCCTGGGTTTCAGGATGATGATGGTCAGTTCTACGAAGAGCAAGAGGAAGTTCAGCAAACACAAGATAAAGGAGGAGATCCAGAGTATCCTCCTCATATCAATGACCTCATTGCTCGGGCTATAGAAGCAGGGGTAACAGCTGCACTCCGGAATCAACCACAGGTTCAGCAGGCACCTATACCATCACCAGTGGTTCAGACTGATACTTAGGAAAATGCTAGGAGTTCTTTCACAAAGGGGAGCCCACCTTAGTTCTCCGGCTCCACCGATGTGCAAGCAGCTCACTAGTGGAAATAGGATATCGAGCGACATCTTCGCTTGGTTTAGTGCACATGTGACGGCCTAAGTTTTGTAACCCGGTGCGTCAGTGATGAGCCAAAAGTTGACCCAATAACGGACCCGAAATGCGGAAGCAAAAGACAAACCAAAGTCTCTAGAGATATAAATTATCCCTAAGGCACCAGAGTGACCTTCCATGAAGTTACGGAACTCAAGGAAAATAATCAAAAGCGAAAGCTAGAATGAAATGGGTCAAATGGTACCCTATGGCACCAATAACGACCAAAGAAACAAGATCTAGTTCAAACTAGACCATGTGTGCCATCAAATAGCTTAACACAAGATAAACAAGGTCCTGTGGGAACAAACAAATGAAGTCAACCTATCTAGGCAACAAACCAAACAAAACCCACAAGGCAGCATCATTTCGGTCATCCAAAATGATGGTTCGGTCGACCGAAGTGAACCAAGAAAAGAAGGGGAATGAGCCTTTGTTTTGGTCTATCGAAACAAGCCACCGGTCGACCGAAACAGGTCGAAAATGTGAAGAATGAACCTGTTATGCACCAAAAATGAAAAGAAGTTCCTAAGTCTCAAATGGATCCCCCATAACATGATTAAATTGCATTATGTGCTATTGTGTGATGATGTGAACATACACGAAAGTGCAATATGGAATTTTAAACATGTTACAATGGCCAATGACCTTATTATAATTCGTTTACAACATTTGACATGTCAAACCTCCAAGTTAGAAAAATTACATTTCATAGGCAAAACTTAAACATGCTAACACTTGTATGTGAACAAGAATGCATTTAAGTAACCTCAAATCTACAAATCACCCGAGGAAAGTGCAATCTTCGAATCTTGAATCCTGTACCTGAACAATACCCCCAATAACTTCGGGGTGAGTAACATAAAGCTACTCGTAGGAAATGAGCATGCATCGACTCGATTTCTTATAGAATTTTACATTAACTTGAAACAATTCAAAAGGGTCATGCCACCTAATGTCTATATCAAAGGTGAGACTCAGGGATCATCCTAAGCTACCTTAAATCATTTCTAGCATAAAACATATCCTTCCTGAAATTTCAACAACATAGGTGCATGCAATACAAAGCAACAAAATATAGATTCTCAAAGCCATTAATTTGAAATCTAAAATGCGAAAACGACAAAAGTGGGTCATGCCACCTAACGTCTATGTTCCAATTGAATTTATAGGATCATTCCTAAGCTACATTTGAATAATACAACTTAATGTACTTAACAACATCAAAGTTTACAATGATTCATCAAAAATCATAACACATGAATGTATTTAACAACATTAAAAGCATGCTATAATTCATTCAAAATCATAATGCATAAATGTACTTAACAATATTAAATTGTCAATAACCAAAATCACAAGTCATAATTAAACATTGGTTGTCAACTTGGAATTGAATGCGAAATCAAATAGTGGAAGACTTGGACATTACGTCTCGGACTAAACCAAAAACAACATGGTTATTTCGGGCATTAACCCGCTGGGAAGACAACCATAGTGCGCACTATCTCAATTGGGGAGAACTCATACCTCCCGCACTAGAGCCAAACTCTAGCCATATCATTTGTAACAATGTCCCAAGACTCCAAAATAAACCAAATAAGTTCACAACTTATGCATAATTTATATAATGCACGAAATCACCTTCCATGCATAAG